AGACTGCCTCTCCCATGCCATGCAGGACAGTGTTCAGGCTGACACCAATCAGAACTGTCACTACTGGCATCTGCATCTACGGTTAGAAGTAATTAGTTATCAGAATAAAGGGTGGTAATGACAGTTCATATAATCATGACACTGCAGTTCTTTGTACTGTATTTAATTTTAGCCCACAGCTGTTTTGAGATTCAAACAGTGACGATGCAGATGTGGAATGTTTTTTACAGTCCCTGATACCAGCAGGACAAAGCATAACTGAGAAACTGTTTTCAGACGACTCATCAACGTCTGACATTATGCTCCCGTTTCCCATCTCCGCCACATACCATCACACCATCACTGCTTGAAAACCTCTTAGAGTAATGAAACATGAGAACAGATTCTGGTAGAATTCATTCCTAAATCAGAATGGTTAAATACAATTCACCACAAAAAAGGACTCCAACAGAGGTGAACAAAGGCAACAAATAGTTTTCCTGTTGTCTTGTTTTTTTGTTTTTTTTTACATTCCCCTCACATGGATTCAGAGCCTCCTCAACCATAATTAAATAGAAGAAATTCAGATGCTTTGCACTGATGATCTGGGTCAAACAGCGCAAACCAAGATGGCCACAGACCACAATGTAATGAAGACCAGAAAGTTTAGGCAATTGAGGTAAAGAATATAAATATCAACTACATGCAAAATATATGCCATATTATCAAATTTGTCTTGACTGCCTTAAAGAAATATTCTTCAACCCAAGTTTTTGGTCTTTTAATGAATACTTTCTACTTCAACTACACATTTCAACCAGTAGGAGGCATCCTTTTCCAAACTACTGGTGACCAGTCAGGCTCCAGGCCAGACAACAGTAAACACAAGCCCCTCTAATCCTCCCCCCTTGGAGGACTAAGTGGAGCCAGCTCTATTAAAACCACAGGCTCCCTCGCCTTTGTATCAGGTCAAAACCCTATTATCCAACACAAACTGACAAGTTAGCACCAGTGTTACTGCGGCACTGAAAACTGTATGATTCAACACAGACCAGTGATGCTCAGTTTGAACCCTGGTGGAAACAGCTGACCAAAACTGGAGGATTAGCCAGCACCCTCACACAGCTGAGTGCCATTTTTCAGGGCTAAATAAATCCTATAACCAGAAGCTACAAATAGCAAAAGTGGCAGTATAGAGAAGGAAAGTTTGTAAAACTAGGTTGTCTCATCTTTCAGCCCTCTTACATAACAAAAAATTATCCCACAGGCTGCTGACAGAGGTTATACTCTTACAGCATGCAGGAAAGATGCAGACGAAATTCGGATGATTGGACCTCCACTGGACGACAGCTAGGCCAGATTACAGACCAGTCAACTGACAGCTGATACTCCCAAAGCCTCACGTTTTAATGTGAACAACTGTTATGAACATTTGTTAGGAGTATGCATCATTAATGCACAATAATAATGTGAATAATAAGGACTTTAATGGACATAACAGTATGTTTATTCACTTCTTGCTGAGACTTAGATGAGAAGATCAATACCAATACCATCCTCACAGCTGTCTGTTAGATATGAAGCTACAGGCAGGAGGTGGTAGCTTCACACGATGACTGGAAGCAAGGGTAAACAACTTACTCAAAGCTCACTAATTAACCCATTACAGCTAAATTATTTAATTCTTCCAAAAGGTTTAAAAATGAAATGCATGTAGGGAGCACTGCAATCTTGTTGACAACCACAACTTGTCATTTTTACCCTGCCTTTGGACAGAGCCAACTGCTTCTCACTCCTTCCTGCCTTTATGCTAAGCTACACTAACTGTTTTCTGGCTATACAGTGGCCCAGTCTTATTTTCTGTTTCTTGGTAAAAAAGCAAAGTGCATTTCTCTAAATATTAAACATTATAAGTGGCTGCTGCTACATTATAGTACCTTACCATTTTCTGCCATGTACATACTGCTAAATTAGTGTTTACTATAAACACAATGCATATACTGTATGGCAAGAGTTAGGGAACCAGCAGGTCTTCGTTTGCCCAAGGGCCCTTAAATCTGGCCATGAAAAGAGGTAGAAAGACATTTATTACCTTTTCTTATTAGACCACCACTGAATTATAGTATATGAAAATGAAATGAAAATGGTAGAAAAGGGCCAGAGGAGAAGACGCTAAAAATTCCTGAGCTTTAAAATGAAGGTCAGAGAACGATGGTTATGTACAGTAACCCAAGCTTCTATCACAACGCTAGCAACCGTGATTGTGATTCAGCAGAGTGCCAGGAGGAGCTCTAATGGTGGTGTCCATGAAGGCCTTATGAGATCCAGGAAGGCACTCTACCATAAAAGTCTGTTTCACTGACTTTTATGAACCTCTCCTGCTTCATTCATCTGGGTTTGTTTCCACTTTTTACTGATTTAATTCACTCTAGTCTGCACAACATATAGATACAGAGTTAGAATGAAGCAGGGATGCAAATTTCACACACAGAAATACACGTTTGTACAGTTATCTTTGTGAAGACACTCACTGATATAATGCATTTGCTACTCCATGTCAGAAAGTGAGGACTGGCCAAAATGTCCTCACTTTCCCAGACTGTCCTGATCCCATGGTATAAAACTCAAACTGGGGTTTATGACGTACAGCTACACACACGCACAGGAAGGGTTGTTTATTCCGCTCGTTTAAAACTACTGTATGTTTGTGTGTCTAAGCATAAACATGTGTATGGAGAAGTAAGCGATTCTCTGCATGGGCTGCTGTGAAAGCCATGGTCGGAGTCAGTGGGAAACTATGTTTGGTTTTGACACAGAGCGCTTTCATGGAGGGAAGTGATGATGGAAAAAGCTGCAAAGGAAATTAAAGGGAGACAACGTTCAGTGTTTGTTTCTTACTTCATCGTCTGTCCTTGTTAGCTTTGAAAGCGGTCATTCATCTGTGCAAATGGAATGAAGTGAGCATACTGTATGAAACCAGGTGAAAGCTGTAACATTTTATAGAGACACAGCAAGCATCACAGGTTTTAGGTGCCTTTACACAAAGCAGTAAGAAGAGCCATGAGCATGGCTGCAGCTAAACTATGAATACATGTCCAATTAACAGCATTACCAATACCAGGAGCAGCTTTTTATAAATTTTCATGCACTAATTTTCCTTTTATCAGGCCAAACTTGATGTGGGCTACTGTCTTGGTTGTGACATGTAAAGTTCATTTTTATGCCTCCATGCCAGCAATAGCTGCAACCGGAAGCATTATGTTTTCAGGTTCTCCATCCATACACCAGTCTGGCTTATGTGAATACGATATGTCTGGAATGCTCTGATGGCATTTCTTCAAGTGTCCATTTGAACTCAAGGATGAATTGATTAAATTTTTAGGGGTCAAAGTTAAAGGTCAGTGACCTCAGGCTGGTCCCCTTCCCATGAGTTTGACTGGTTGACAGGCATACAACTGCAAAATGGTAATTCTATTTTCAGTGTACAATTAAATTAAAAAAAAGTTTATTCATACCATATAGTAAGGATATTCACAAAGCACATCCACTTCAGCAATAAATATTAATTTTGAAAACAAGAGCCTCTGAATTGTGGGATTTGTGGCAAACCTGCAAGAGAACGAACTCTAGTTACTTCTACCTATAGCAAAAACATCAAGGGTTTAATAATACCTACCAAATAATAAAATAACATGAACAAAAAGACTATAATAGATGATCTGACAACATTAAATCAAATGACAGTGTGAGTACACTGTTACAACATGAACGGTGTGACTCACAGTGATGAACCTAGAATTATAACATGACTCTGCAGCTCCCTTAAGCTTTACACTGAGCTGCAGTTCATTGTATGACTGCCCAGCCCATGTTACTGTTTCATACTGTAGCACTGGCTTTCAGACAGAGCAGGCAGCTGTTTTCAGCAAGAAAGCTATAAAAACCCACACACGCTATCTCGCTAAGCACCAAATAGAGCATCTTGCAGCCAAGGGCCGGATATTTTCCTCAAAAACTGGTAGAGACCAAAAGCTAAAAGAGAGTGACTACTGGACTTACATTCACGGGGTGGCCAGAAACAAGATTCCAAATGAATGATAACGTTGGACTGTTCATCTCCTGGAACCTCTAAATTATATAAATTAAAGAAGCAACAGCTTAACAAAAGAGAATATTAATCTGCATAAGTGTGGGTGCCTATAATGAATTATCATAAAATTATCATAAAAGATTTAATCAGCTTTGTTGCTGTTTTACTGTTTAGGTTAGCATGAGAATACCCTCACAGCTCCTTATCTGTATTCACACTACTGTACATTAAAGCTACTCTACCTAACTTCTTTTCAGTCTGGAGGGAGACTCAAAACAAAATCAAACTTTAGGCCACTCCTACCCACTATTTGCCCCTCCCACCACATCCTGTTTCCTATTGACAACATAAACTACAGATGCCTAGTTGTGACAAACTGTACAAAATGCAACCTCCAGTCCAAATCTAGCATTACCTGAATAATGAGAAAATTGGTCAGTCCAATAGAAAGCTCTGGTTGCAAAGCACTAATTTGACACAAAGCTCAAATTGCTCTGAAATTGAAATATTAGTTCAATACAAAGGTAAAATCATGTCTATGCTAAGTCACTAATGCTATGAAAACAAACATATTAGCTTGAGAAGAAAAACACCACATCTGAATCAAATTTGAGACCTTTGGCTTATTTTCTCAAAAAGCCAAACTAATGTTAACCCTGGTTTTTGCTATTTCTTTGTCCTACTCTCTCTGTACAATATAACACTGCGTTTTTGGTCTGGCAGCCACTGCTTTGGGGTTTTAGCTGCTGAGAGCTCCTCCATAGTTGGGTGTTTGAAATGACTACTCATGGTTCAAAAAACTCTTTTTATAACCTTCGCTAGGTGACAGGCAGGGCTAATGTCTAGACCAACCATCAAAACAAAGGGCAGAGAAGCAGTAGGGCTATACAGTAGGTAAGAGTGTGTCATGGAGGGGAGTGGTACAACTGCAAGACACCATGTTCTGCTCCATTCCAACTGATTTATTGGACAATGTCTAAAATCTTAATTAATGCACCGTTAAGTTGTAACCAACAACTACTGTAATCAACACTGTGCATGTTTGAGTACTACTTTATCTGATGCCCTTAGTAATAGAAGGCAGGTGATGAGCAGGGAAAGTCATCTAACTTCTTCTTCTTCTTCTTCTTAATCTAGCCACAGCAGATGCAAGCCAGTGACTTCTGTGCCGGTCCCAAGCCCGGATAAATAGAGAGGGTTGCATCAGGAAGGGCATCCAGTGTAAAAACATGCCAAATGTAAACATGCGAATCATCAGTGTGAATTCCATACCGGATCGGTCAAGGCTCGGGTTAACAGCAACCGCCACCAGTGCTGTTGACCTACAGGGTGCTGGGGGAAATTGGACTATTGTTGGTCGAAGAACGAGAGGAGGTAGAAGGATTCGTAGACAGAGAAAGAAGAGGAAAGGCAGGAGTATAGGTCTGAGAATAGGGACTCTTAACGTTGGCACAATGACAGGGAAAGGTAGAGAGCTGGTGGACATGATGGAGAGAAGGAAGGTAGATATACTGTGTGTGCAGGAGACCAGGTGGAAGGGTAGCAAAGCGCGTAGCATTGGAGGGAGATACAAACTGTTTTATTATGGTGTGGACAGGAAGAGAAATGGGGTAGGAGTGATCCTGAAGGAGGAGCTCGTGAGGAATGTTTTAGAGGTGAAAAGAGTGTCAGACAGGGTGATCAGTTTGAAGTTGGAAATTGAAGGGGTAATGTTGAATGTAGTCAGTGGTTATGCTCCACAAGTAGGGTGTGAGTTAGAAGAGAAGGAGAGATTCTGGAGTGAGTTAGATGAGGTGATGGAGAGTATTCCCAGAGGGGAGAGAGTGGTGACTGGGGCAGACTTCAACGGGCATGTTGGTGAAGGGAACAAAGGTGATGAGGAGGTGATGGGCAGGTTTAGCTAAATGTTCAGGTTGGTCCACTGGTCACTCACCATAGCTGTCAAATCAAATATCAAAATTAATCATAAAGTGTGATATCACATGGTGGTGTCGTACTGAACTACACTATATTCAGAGGTGTTCCTATTATTCTGACCCTTTCATGTATGTAGCTGGGGAGGACAAAAATATAGAGACAGCATATATAAATGCTAATTTAAAACCTTCCACTGATGCATATAAATACGAGCCCAGCCCCGCAATCTTGTGGAAGTGCACAGCATCACTGCTAAAAAAAATATCCTAGGGAAAACACTGGACAGCATGAGGGAAATGCTGGTTAAGTGTTATTTTTCTGTGTGAGTGAGGAATGCTGAGCAACAGTGATGACATTGTGTGTATGTGAGACAAAAGAAGAGAGAGAAAAGGCATAGGGAAGAGAGACAGATGAAAGGGAGTGAGAGAGGGGGCAGAGAGAAAGAAAACAATAAGGGCTAAAGTTTTATTACTTCTATAAGTGTGTTTGTCAGGCTGCCATGAAGCACAGCTGGCAGCTTTCATTTCCAGCAGAAAGAGAAGGAATACTGGCAAGACACAGCTCCACTTTTATGTTTCTCCAATCAAAACTCTTATTACATTTCCTGAAAACATGAAGGAATGTGCCCTGTCAGGACTTGTAATGTGAACTGAATTTGAACCAAGCATGAAAACTTGACAAGATAACAGTCACTGAATGCATAAATTCTCTTATGAATACACAAAGCTGTTCCTAATAAACAGAAGAGCTAAGATAACATTTTTCTAATTTAAGAGTAAGTAAGAGTAAGAGTAATCTAAAATATGTTGTATAAGAATAATGTTTTCAACTGATTAAAACTATGAGAACTATAAGAACTGTGCTACAGGATAAGAACTATACTCCCCAAGTCTCAACAAAGGCAGAGAGCAGTTACATAATAATGACTGTGATATGTGATGAAGTACTATTTGTTATTATTCATATGAGAAAAAGTGATCTTTGTATAGCACTACATGAAATGATTGCAATGAAATGACTATATATATATGCAGCTAATCAATAACATTACCGTACGTGTGCCTGTTGCTGATTTTGGTACATATGTATTTACACTGAAATCAATGCAATGAATGAATCTCCAATTTGTACATTAAAGCTGTCTGAACAACACCAAATCATGCTACTATCTCGAGTCAGAGCTAATCAGCTAGCATGCTAATGCGACCTAACACACAGTGTTTTCTTTACTGTATGAGCATTTAAAAAAAAAATTATTCACTGTCTGAGATTTCTCCAGACAGGTATCCTGGCAATCAAATTTAGGGGCTTGGTAGCCCAGTTGTGCTGTGTTTACTGGAGACATAAAGCAGGGCAGTCACCTTAGTGAGATCCATTATTTTAATGGGTCTCACCTGCTAACTTTCTGAATTTCCCTCCAAACTATGTAACTGAGTGACGGTTTCACATACATGAAGGGTCGGGTGAAATATGGAGCAGAGTGGAGTAAGCAGGAAGAGAGAGGGCCGGGCGGAGCGATTGATTTTATATTGTTACATGTCTCACCTTTAATTTTAATTGAAATACATACAAAAAAACTGAATCAAGTCAATATTTGCAAAGACTTGCACACAGTTTTAAATAAAGTGGGTTCTTTATGACTGTATGTTTGGGCTTTTTATCAGGCTGAAGAATGAATCTGGGACTGGTCAGATGCCTCACTTGTTGTAGTGTGTGATGGATAAGAATATAAACATACAGTGTCTAAAACAATTGCACTGTACTGTATGTAACTGAACCTTTAGCCAAAGTTAGATGTGTCTATATCACCAGCCATCTTATAAACTGACATTTTACATGCCAGTCATATAATGGATACCATCCATTAGCATATATTTTGCATAGTAACATGTATGCCAGAAAGTCAGATTCTGAACTTAAACTGAGATGTAGTTACTAGCTTTTGGTTCTGTGGGGCTGTGTAACACTAGTGATTCAGCATAGTGTTACTGAGTTTTTGTGTTCTAAACACCAAGACCTGAGTCAGCCTTTCCCAGAAAAACACATTTAGTACACAAGAAGTGATGTGTTTTACATTTCCATTACATTTGAAAAATCAACCAAGTCATCCATCAGTTCTTACCTTAAAGAAGCTACCACTCCTGTCCGTGAGGCCGCTGGGGGGATTACTGGACGACATGTTGTCGATCCACAGGACTGGGTCCCTCTTACCTCCCGCTGTGTGTTTACGTCTGTGATAGTGTCTGCAGGGGCCAGAGGTCTGTGGGTCAAAAACACACTCAGTTCAGACACTTCAGCTGTGGTGCAACCAGAGGAAATGCCTGCTTTGGCCGCAGCCGATATTATGGGCGTGCTGGTCTGCTGAAATGCTTTCATTGTGACTCGCTGTCTCACTTGCCCTCGTTTCTTCATGCTCTAGAGATTTACCTTGACTTTCCTGCCTCCTCTCACTTCATTCTCCTTTTCCCGATCCCTCCCTCTCAGATAATTACAGAAGTCCTTCTTTTAAATCTTATTCCAATCCTCAGTTAATTTTTTTCTGGACCTCTGTCCTCTCATTACCTGTCTCTTCTGCTTCCCTTCTCCCTTGCATTTTTTACTTTCTTTCCTATATTTTGTTCACATGACCTCATACATACATAATTAATTTTCCATCGCGGAAAGCCTCGGTTGCAGCACATCTGCCCTTCTTCCCCTCTCGTCACAACAAAGTTTTAGGCCTCTGGTCTCAAATGCTCAAATCTATGCTGAACTGTGAAAAAGTGAAAGTCCACTGAACAATCCGACATTTATCTCAAAACATTAGAACACATAATAAACTGATATCTGCTCTTTGCCTCCACATTTTTGTTTCCTTCTCTCCTTGTTCTGATTCTGCTTTTGTTATTATTATCTGTCTTTCTGATTTGTCAACCCCTACCCCCATACTGTCTCACACTCTTCCATCTCAGACTGAAACTATTAGACCAGCCCTTCCCTTCCTGGCAGAGGTTCACAGTCCTTGTGAACCAGGGAGATGCTCTGTTCATTTGTCCATCCATACAAGCACTTTCATCTCACACAGGAAGGAAGCCATTACCCCCCACCATCAGAGGCCGAGGGGGAAGAAACAAAGGAGCACAGACAAATACAGCACAGCATTTAGACGGTTGAATCAGAACAGCATGCTTTATGACAGCTGAATCTTAAACTATAACTATGTTTTTGTTCACCTACTGCAAACTTAGAAAAATGGCAAGTTTTCAATTTACCAAAAAGAAATTTGACATATTTCCCAGGATGAATCATGTCCTGAAGGCCCTCCTCACCCTCCCTTGACAACCTGTACAGTTAAAAAGCTCTCTTCAGCTGTCAGATGGATAAAAATGGGTATCGGTCAATCTGTGGTAACATACAGACTAAACTCTTTGTCCCAACTTTCCTCATCACCTCCTGCTGTAATTATCAGTGGTGAGCCTCAGATGTTTACATTTTTGTAGTATTAGGCTACCGATTGTTTATTGGGCTTTCTGTGTTATTCAGTATGCTGAAAAAATAGAAAGGTATGGTTGTAATTATGATTTTGGCTGGTATCACTGTGGTAACGGTCTTGGAAGAAGCCCAACCAATCTTTTGTAGGCTGTACCTTATCACAGTGGTGCTTGAAGCTAAATGCTGGTCAACATGCTAATATGCTCACAATGACAAGCTATAATTTTGGCTATGTTTTATGTTTTGCTAATTAGCACTAAACACAAAGCACAGCTGGGGCTAATGGAAGTGTCATTAGTTCGGCAGGTATTCAGCCATAAAGTATTAAAGAAAAATGTCGACCTGATGATGGTGCTAGAGGAGTCATGTGATCTTCACCATCTTCAAAAATTGATCCTGAGGGAGATATGAATATGTGTACCAAAATTCAGGATAACTCCATCCAATAGTTATGAAGATATTACATCCAAAAACACATTGTTAACTTGCTGGTGGCACAAGCCCCTTTGTTCAGAGAATGATGGACATCTGCACCAAACAAGTCAATTAAATGCTGACCTAGCTACAAATCTGGTGACCCGTACAGACTGTACCCATTTCCTTACTGTCTCAAAGTAGAACTGAGAGTGTGGCATGATAGTTTCACTTCCACAAACAGAAGAAAAGTAGTACAAACAGAGAGCCTGAGAGATAAGTCAGATGAACTTCACAAAATAGCTCCCACCAAGGACATTTCCTGGAAAGAAGGTAGCAATAAATTCCTTGTATCCTTCTTCATGCATAACCCTCTAAACCTTACATGAAACTGAGAGCATGCTGGGAACTGTAGGAAATGTCCCACCAGGGTAGCTCCCCCTCACAGCTCTAGTCTAATCAACCCTAGCCTCACCAAAACACTGAAATCACATCAAACGCTCAGCTGTTCCAACACTATTTTGCTCAGTTAGACCACTGTGCATCTCTTTGTGTGTAGTCTATATGTGCGTGTGGAAGAGCTTCAGCTGCAAGTAAACAAAGATCCATCTGCGTGTGTAGCCCTTCCTATTAAAAACCACAGCCCCCGCCCCCGGCAATGCAATGCAGCACAAAGCACAAAGACACACTGTTCTAAAGGCACACACACAAGCATTAGCATGCACATGTATTCATATACTGAAATGGTATAAAATGGTATAAACTACATAGGCAAGATACAGACATATAGTACAGTGGTAACATGTGAATGCACATGAACCAAATCTCCCTTTCCCTCAGTCACATCAGTGGATTGGTGACAACCTCATGGACAAGCTCCCTCCTCAGGGTCTGGGAGTTGTTTATGAGAGGAACACTTCATGCAATTGGTTGGGTCTCTCCCACATTTTTTTCTTTCTTCCCTCCTTTTTAAATAGCCGTTTTGTTTTTCTTTGTAGACTGCATAAGTTGAAGACACCCACACTTCAAACTCTCACACACAACCAATGTAAAACCCTCTGTCTCTTCTGTAAGGTCTTGTATCTATTGTCTTGTCTTCTATGTCCTGCTGTTTTGTTATTGTGCTATTTTGTGGTACAATTTAAAAAAAAAAAAAGAGAAGCAGAACCAGTAAGAGACTCTCATACACACATAGACCACAGTTTTACATAACCATAATTCAAAAAGAACCACAGCATGACTTCATTAAACGCTGTGATATTTTTGTTTGCTAGGACCTGCATTTTCTCCCAGTGGGGTCATACCAGCTGTGAGGCTGTACCATCCTACACCAGTACTCATGAATAAACATCAGTGTTTGATGGACCTGTAGACACAGATGTGGTTTTATGTGGCACATCCTTGTATGTCATGTATGTCAACAAAAAAAAGAAGCTATTTTGACAAGAAAAACAATATTTAAACTCAGTGGTCCAATGTCCACCTACAGTAGAAGCTTATTGTGTGGCTTTCAACTACTCAGTTTTAATTCAACTACTGTTTTTAAGTTCAACAATGAACTTTCACAGTTGGTTTAAAAGCTATTGAGCCCCCTAAGGGTCGTGGTGGTGATTTTTATTTCCTTATATACTTTTGTGTTACCTACCAATACTTATTACACTTTTTTTATTGAAGTAACACATTAACAACACTACCAAACATGGGAGACAAGACCACAGATACATGACATTACAAAAGGTTATAGTGTTTTACAAGATTGTAGTGTGTGAAGTGTGGGTATTGCCAACTTATGCAGTCTATGAAATGCAAGAAAGGGAAAAGGAGGGAAAATAAATCAATAAAAAATTACCAATACTGATGATGCTAATAGTACTACTAATAAAATCAGCTTGTTACAGTTTTAGAGGTTGGTGGGAATGTGCGTGGCCTTGGCCCCAGGTGTTTGGTTCAAGTTGAAATGTGTTAAAAATGGGTTCCATGTGTCATAAAAAGCTCATAAACTATCAGAAGATCAAAAGGTTGGTCCAGTGGTTTATGTGTAGTGATTTTTTTTTTTGATTTCCAGTTTTGAAAGATTGTTTTCTTGTCAATAGCTAGAGAAATGAGGAGTGGGTTTTTATATTTAATTGGTAGGTTGTCGATTTCTATGATATTACTGAGTAAACAAAGTGATGGAGAAGGAGGGATTCTACAGCCCAAGATGGTGGAGAGTTTCTCTGTCACTGCTATCCAAAGGGAATGAACTGGTTGGCAGGTCCAAGTAGCATTAAAATAATTGTTGGTGCAATCTAGAATGCATTGTGAGCAAATGCCTATGTCAGTGAAACCCATTTTGAACATTTTACTTTCTGTAACATGGGTCCTATAGATGGTCTTGTATTGTATAAGTTGTAAGTTTACATTGCTGGTTATAGGAAACATGTTATAGCAAATTTCTGTCCAGAAGTCGGAGCTGAGGGAGAGAGTTAAACCATTTTCCCATCTGAGATTTGGTATTGTTATTGTTGAGTCAAGCAATAATATTAGAAGTTTGGTGCTTCTAGGCCACCTAGTGATTTCTTCTTTTGGAGTGTAGATTTGGGGTTTCTTGTTTTTCCAGTAAAATTGTGAAGTGATAGAATCAAGAGATTTAAACCATTTATCTGTGGGTGTTGTGGGAGGCATTGTAGTAGTTAATTTGAGGTAAAGTTTTCATTTTGACTTTATTACACTTTTCTGATCTATTTTGCCCAGCACAACCAGAGGGTAGCTATGGATCTGCTCACTGAATTGTACTCTTAACTTGGCATTAAGTACACTAACATAATATTACTGCTCAATAGTAAGCATGGCTATGTAATTAACCTAAGCATAACCTTAAATGTAATTCTAACTGAAGTCTTAACCTTCAAAAAGTCATTTAAACTTGTAAGGACAGGCTAAAATGTCCTCACAGCACCAATATGCTCTTACAACAATGGCACTGAAAAAACACTGGTTCACGCAATACAATAAAGACATGCACAGTTTATCTGGCACAAGCTACTAAAACTGAAATTATATAGTAAATGTCTCCGCATTCCTCAAGTCATAGAATTGTCTTTTTCTAATATTTAGTAAAAGAGTAACATGTCTTAAATTATGTCTGAAATGATCATTATTGCAAGTTTAAATTCATTCCAATCAGTGACTACAGCTCATGCATTGCTTTTGTGTTCATCCAGAATGCTCTAGATGCCATGCATCGAGTTTGAATTGCAAAAACTCTAAATCACAATTAAACAAAATAAACTTCACAACCTTTGTCCCTGTTACTCTGGGTAATCCTCTGGGTATGTGGTCACCTGTTCATAGGGACTATTTTTCTGCTCCCCTTTAAACTGAGTGATATTGCCC